GCCCATGAACTCCTAGAGAGCCCTGTGAACCCTTTTATCTTTCCCTCTGTATTCCTCACTGCCATGCACTCACAAAAAAATAAAAATAAAAATTTAAAGCCAGTTTCACATAAGAAGGTCCTGGATGAAGCAGTAAGTATCATGAATTGTATTAAATCACAACCCTTCTTAATAGTCTGAAGAAATGAGAAAAGTGCCTGAAGCACTTCTGCATACTGAAGTACAAGGCTGTCCGGAGGCAGAGTACTTGTGTAGTTGCTTGAGTTGCATGTTCAGTTAACAATTTTTTTCATGGAACAGCATTTTTACTTGGAAAAAAAATGACAAACTTAGACATGGATTATTTAGGCATGGGCATTTGGCAGATTTTTTTTTTTTTTTTTTTTTTTTAAACGTGAGCCTGTCACTTAAAGGAAAATAACAGACAGTATTTGTCATGAATAATAAAACTCAAGCTTTCAGTTGAAAATTTTTAAAATTTTGGAAAACTTTTTTGTATCTGATATCATGAGCTTGACAACTTCTCAATACATATAGATTCTTAAGTTGAAGATCAATGGTGATATTAAAAGATGTGATTTTTTTATACTGTATTTTAATGACATATTGTCAATATTTGGAAGATCTGCCTAATACAGTTAACCATTGTTTTCCAGATGACCATTGCATGGTATTACAAATACCATGCCTGGGTAAAAGATCCATTCAAAGCACATGAGAGACCACTGGATTTTAAAATAAACAGAATATGAAAAGCTTATTGATATGGTTTCTGCACATTCCACAATTTGTCAAGTTTAGGTATAATATCAAAGAATATCCAAATTTATCTGGAAAAGCTATTGATTCGCCTTCCAACTATATATCTGTATAAAGATTTTCTTCATATAGTTTTAACCAAAACAACAGATTAAATATAGAAGCACATTTGAGAATCCAGCTATCTTCTATTTAGAGAAAGGCCAGAAATTTGTACAATGCCATTCTCTGCATTCACTGATTTTGTTTTGGGGAAATATATTTGTTTTCATTGAAGGTATGATATTTAGCTCTGACCAGTGTGCCTCAGTTGGTTGAGTGTTGTCCAATGTACCAGGAGGTCACATATTCAATTCCTTATTAATATCTGTGTTTTTAGTGGGTTAATTAAAAAATTTTAATTTTTTCTTAGCTTATATCAATTCTTTGTACGGTATTTGAAGTGTTTTCCTTTTCTATAAAACTGGTACCAGTATCTGGTTAAGCCAGCATTTAACAGTCCTAATCTGTATTCTCCCTGACACTTGCCAAAACATGCTCTACTTTCTTTTCACCAGAGTCTTATCAATCATTGACTAATCAAATGACTTCATATCCTATTTCTACAGAACCCAAAAATAGCTCTACAGGATGAAAAGAAAAAGAACTTTAATTAAAAGTTCTTTAATGAAAAGACTTCAATTAAAACAGCTCATTTCTATTTCTTCAAATTAATAATTTCACAACAATTGTGCAGAGAATAAGGAGTTTCACTACTGACTAGGTTGTGACAGATCCTAGTCCCTGACTCCAACAGCACTCATGAGGGGATGTCCAGTGACTGACTGGAGAAGACGGCTAAATACGCTCTGTGTGCTGGACAGCCTGAACCCCTGAAAAGAGCCAGGTTCCGTGTGTGCCAGCAGTCTGCTCTAGCACTGTAAACGCCCTAGGTGTTGTTCCTGAAATGCTCCCATTCTAGTATGGGATCAGTGGTTTTGGGAGTAGGTTAAGTCATCATCCTACATTTGCTAATGAGTTCTGAAGGCCTTTCTTTAAATAAAAAGAAAAAAGTTATAGTACTGTCAAACAAGTTCTTTAAAACCTCCCAATCAGACTTACAAAACTAACCTCTGCCTGGACAGCGGTATTAAAGGAAAGAGCAACTGTCAGTCATCAAGCTCAGACTTTTATTCTCAGGACCTAGTAAGTACTGCTGCCTTGCACTAGGATTTTAGTAAGACAGTGCTTCTTCACCCTGGCTGCACACCAGATCACTCAGACCTACTGAAGCAGACTCTATGACGGGTGGTGAGGCAGTACTTCCATTGTCCTGTAAATATTTATCAGGTGACTGTGGCTACTGTACTAAGAATTGGCTCCCACAAGAAAGCATTAAGGCTCAGAAACACCTTGTGGGACAACACCCTCCAAAAAACCTCAGCACATCCCTAAAGGGGTGACTGGGCAGCCAGGTTACAAAGCCTGCTGAGCTGAGCAGCAGCCAAGAGCAAGGTTTGGTGCTCTCAAAACCAGCCCTGGTTGTCACAGCAACTCTCCCAGCACAGTTCTTTCTTCCCCTCTGCGGCTCTAGCCAGGCTTTGCTGTTCTCTGTTATGATCTTAATGTTTTTGGTAACCTTAATGGCCAGCTGCATTCTTTTGATTATTCTGCCAATTGTATCATCTTATCATAAGTTAGGTAGTGTACAATAATACTTCACCTGCCTGTGTTGAACTCAACAACCTCCACTTCTTCAAAATACACCTAAACAAAGGGCCTTGACTGGCCAGAACCAATGTTACCAGGCTGAGCACTAAGTCTTTAAGAAAAACCCAAGACCTTTGCTCTTATGTTTCTTTTTTACGCCTTTAAAACATACGATTTCTAAGGCCTGCAGATAATTAAAAGTAGGGAAAACAAGTATTCTTGGCAGCCACACTAAAAGCTCAATAAGTGACTACTGATCCCTGAATAGGAAGGAAAGGGGCAGAAAAGCCCTAAGAAATGGATACAAGAACTCGGAATGCAGGACAGTGTAGGCCCTAACAGAATCGGAGCCACAATTTTACACACCTCAACAGGTTGTAAAGTGATCATGACTTTAGAGTAATTATGAACCAGATCACCAAGAAAGTGTTTACTTATATCACTTAAAGGGGGCAGTGATATGTGTTGCATTTTTTAATTTTAAACATTCCAAATGGTTCATGGTTTTGGTGATTCCAAGTAGTTAAAAGAGTTTTACTGCTTAAAAGGGTAAACTCTTAGCTATGCAGGATTTTTTTATGAGTACTCTAAATAATTAAGATATACCCTATTTATTGTTTCTATTCATTTATACCCCATTTTCTACAATGTTAGAAAGTCAAAGATTTAAGGCAGTCTGATCTTAATCTGTATATACTTTCTAATACCTGGCTCTGGTTCTTAGCAATACTTGCTAATAACGTGGTGTTCTGTTCCTGCCAAATTTGATATGTGATATGTATGAAACTTGATGCTATTTCTTTGCTCATTCATCTGACTACGAAGGGGTCAGAGCTGTCTCCCTCTCCCTTGAACTAGTAATCCTATATCACTTCACCTTGGCTACCTAGAAAATAAACCATTGCATGCCACCTTGTCCCTCATTATGTGATCTACAAACAGAATATCTGGCATGTAGTAGATATTTAATAAACATTTGTTGAATGAGCCAGTAATCCACAGGGTATCTATAAAGTTAGCTATTTGCATGAAGCTAATAAATTGAAGTGTCTAGCCCATTATAACAGCAGTCAAAAAAAAAAACAAGAGGGGGGGAAGTTTTTTTAATAAATAAAAGGAAAAAAACAAGAGCAAATCCTGGGACCAGGAAGATTAAATGGCAGATACACTGTTAAAAACTTGATTACATAAGTACACAGGATATGATCATAAGTTTAAAAAAAAACACAAAAAAATTATAGGGCAAGACTAGGACATAAGCCAAATATACAAACAGATTATCCATTTACTGACTTAATAAATAATTGAGTACTTTCTTTGTATTTGACACTTAGCATTGCAGAGTTATCCAAACTCACAACAATACTGCCAATGATAAGCTAACACTATGCAATGATAGGAAAGGTAAAGTGTCCTAAAACGCAGTAGGAATTCCAGTTCTTCACATGTGCACTGCCAACCACATCAGCGACCTCTTCACAGAGCACTAAATGAAAGTGTGTAGTAACAACATGGAATGTGCTAATGTTAGTTAGGAATACCGAATGTTATGTTGACCCTCTTTTATTCAGTAAGCAACCTTTGGGCATGTATAATCAGTTCATGGCCCATCAGGAAATCCACTATAGTTCAATTTTGGCCCCAAGACCATACTCTGAATTGCTGCTTTAGAAGATATTTCCCATGATACTTAATGGATTTCTAACTCAGCATGTGAGGAGCATCCACACATATCCTGTAACTGTTATTCAGCTGTAATGCAGTCAGCAATCTCAGTTTATTTCCTTGTGTTGGTTTATATTTATCCTCTTGATAATTGGCTGATAATACACTACTAGATTATCCTATATATCGCCGAAACTGGTTTGGCTCAGTGGTAGAGCGTCCGGTCAGGGGCATGTACATTGGTTGCAGGCACATCCCTGGTGGGGGGGGTGCGAGAGGCAGCTGGTCGATGTTTCTCTCATCAACGTTTCTAGCTCTCTATCTCTCTCCCTTCCTCCTCTCTGTAAAATATCAATAAAATATATACATTTTTTAATTTATCCTATATAACAAAAGGCAAATATACAAATTGTCCCCTTGGGCAGGAGTTCCATCAGAGAGTGGGTGGCCAACAGCCCGAGGCCCCAACCCCTCACGGGGCAGGCCCACCAGACCCCACCTGTGCATGAAATAGTTTACCGGGCCTCTAGTAATAGATCATAAAGGCATAAAATAATGTTTTATGGGCAGAGCACAGTTGGATACCCTCAATTCCTTGTAACACTGAAGTAAAATGCAAAAGAAAATTCCTCGAGCTACTTAATAGTCTATATGAGAAACCTAGCCTTAAGACCTGGTTTTATATTGCTTCTATATAAAACTATCTTCATCTTTAAATGTTTATTCACAAAAACACTTTTGATTCTTAGGGATATTGTTATCTTCTCTGTTGACATCCACATGATGTGTGTTTCTTCCTCTCTGGGCTGTGTTTCATGCCAGATAAACCTCCAAAACAAAATGGGAGAGCACCAGCCACAAATAACCCTCTTCTGATCTCCCCTCAGGTTACCCCTTGGCTTTGTTTTATCGGCATTACCTTTTCTACAAGGACAGCTACCTCATCCATCTCTTCCACACCTTCACAGGCCTCTCCATTGCTTATTTTAACTTTGGTGAGTAAACTGGGCTAACAGTGGGGTTGCAATTAGAGAGAATATGGGAAGGAACAGATTCTTTCCTGGAGAGAATTTGATGGATAGGGACGTTATAATCCTGTGCTTGCAAAGAGAGGATTTGTATGGACAAGAAAATAGCTTAAGTTCTCCTAATATGGACAGCCCTCTCCCAGATAGAACATTTGAGAGTGGTTACCCTTGCCGGACCCCATCAACAGAGGGGCCAACACTTCTCTGCTATGCCTATAACTAGATGACAAGCAGTCCCCTCAGGAGCAATCTGAAGTTCAAACATTCAGAAATACAGTAGCTGCCTGACAGTCCCTTCTATTTATGTCCCTTCCTCCAGAACATGAAGTAATTTTGACAAAAATATCCTAATACCAAAATAGTTTTTTCTTTATGTATCACTTTGTGTTTGAAGTCTCAGGATGGGTAGGAATGAAACACACACGTGCGCGCATGCGTTAAAAATATGCTCTCTTCTGCACTAGGAAACCAGATGTACCACTCCCTGCTATGTGTCATCCTTCAGTTCCTCATTCTGCGACTAATGGGCCGCACTGTAACTGCTGTTCTCACTACCTTTTGTTTCCAGATGGTAAGCATCTTTCCCTTGGCAGCTCAGGTCACAGCTTAGGATTGGGGAGAAGTCAAGAGACTGGTGTAGAAAAACCAGTAAACTGGAAAACAATCCAATTTCTGATTGTTTTCTCCCAATAACACTTACCACTATGACTTTATGTAAGACACTTTACACAAGCCCCAGCTGTTTCATCTGCAGGTGGCAGTGGCAATACTTTTCCTGCCTCAAGGAAGAGGTGAAGCTAATCCTTTGCATAGGACTGTGATTAAGGTTCTGACCAGGATTGGCCCAGCTATCACGAGGGGAGTCACGTAAAGGCAAGGCAGAAAATCAACTTAGAATGAGCTACAGAACCTAAGCATCTAAATTCTCAATTCGCCTCAATTTTGCTGAGAAACCTTGAAGCAAGTCTCTCCATTTATAGGAATTTCTTAGGCCTTGAAGAATCCAGGAGAAAGAAAAAATGAAATACAGTGGATTTCAGAGTAGAGAGAAAATAAATCATAGCAATAATAGAATAAATACTTCCCTTCTCTTAGGCCTACCTTCTTGCCGGATATTATTGGACAGCCACTGGCAACTATGATATCAAGTGGACAATGCCTCATTGTGTTCTGACCTTGAAACTGATTGGTAAATGATGGGTTACTACCCTCCCCTTTACACCTAGGCTCCTCCCCATCTGACCATAAACTTACTGTGTTCGCCCCCACATTCCCCGCTACCCTCAGTCCACAGGTCACACCCCCAGTGTCCTTTCCCTCTACCCACACCTTCTCTCTCTGCTCAGGTTTGGCTGTTGACTACTTTGATGGAGGGAAAGATAAGGTAAGCACAACTCCTCCACAGAGAGATTAAGGAAATAAACTAGAGGGATGGAGAAAGGCTATTCTTACCAAAAGACTGAACCCAAATGCTAGGGGCAGAGCCCCACCTCATCCCTAGCCTGTGTGATCTCCGTTTCAGATAGCACTGAGCAAGGATCAACAAACCTAATTTGCGTGCATCCAGTTCTTGCACAAAGTCCAGAGATCAATGCCAGCAGGGCATTTGGAAATCAGCAGCAGTCAGCTGTTGCTTCACACACTCGCTTCCACAGGAAGCAACTACTTTCCTCCATATCATCCCCTCAGAGATGGCTCTTTGAAGAACCAGTTCAGTGGGCCAAAAGGGTGGGGAACACACAAACCGGCTCTTGCAGGTAGATTCAAGGCCATCCTGAACCATTCCTTCTCTTCTCGGCATAGAATTCCTTGTCCCCTGAGCAACAGAAATATGCCATACGAGGTATCCCTTCCCTGCTGGAAGTTGCTGGTTTCTCCTACTTCTATGGAGCCTTCTTGGTAGGCCCCCAATTCTCAATGAACCACTACATGAAGCTGGTGCACAGGAAGCTGACTGACAAGCCAGGGGAGATACCAAGCAGGTAAATGCCCCTCTTGGTCAAGACCTCTGTAGAGTGTCTCACCCACTATCAAGCCACTTCTGAAGTGACTTTCCTGCAGACCAGCCCTAGCTGCATTCTCCACATGGCCTGGCTCCCCAGGCTCCTGCCACACGGGCCCTGGACAGTGATAACGGGCACCTGTTCCTGCTCACTACAGGCGTGGGCCCTTTTCAGCCAGCCATTCTGATCCTGTGGCACAAACATAAACTTTACTTTTATGAAGCAGGATTTTGCCTGAACCAGTCATGTCCCCACCTCTAAAATTCATTTTCTCATTTTAAAAAATTGATTTCAATGTACTTAAAAATATTGGGCAGTGGAGCTACTCATCCCATCCCAGCTGGGCTAGCTCCCCTCTGTGACTTAAGGGCGGAAGGAGTGGCCTCTGGCACTGTGACCCCCACCTTTCCTTTCAGCACCATACCTGCTCTCAAGCGCCTGAGCCTGGGCCTCATCTACCTGGTGGGCTACGTTTTCCTCAGTCCCCACATCACAGAAACCTATCTCCTCACCGAAGACTATGAGGTGAGTGGCTACTAAAGCAGCGGCAGTATGACTGCATCCGAGATAGATGGGCAGGCAAGGATCCTTGTGGATAGCCAAGTGGAAAACACCATCGACAAATGCATGTTGGTTTTGCTCTAGATCTGTGAGAGTTGGTGTCAATGCCAGCCAGGCCGGGACATGGTCATCAGCCAGCATTGAACAACCTTAGCGGGCACAGGGCTGTGCCAGGTGCACTTTGGCACCCCTTCCCTTCCCCGGGAGCAGCTCTGAGCTTGCTATATTACAGCCCAGCATAGCAGCTTGTGGTCCTCCAGCTTGTTTCTTCTCTTGATAGATTGGGGGCTTCTAGGGAATTCAAAATCCAAGGGAGGGGGAAGTGCTGGCTTTTGCTCCTGCCCTGCAAGGTTTGCAACCGTTCCCTACCCACTCTAGGTCAGTTGACTCAAGTTAACATTGAGCATGAGTTCATAAAAGTCCTTTGGCACTCAGCGTCCCAAGTGCCTCAGAAGAAGAGTTAAAGACAGTGCTGTTACTGCAACTCTCCAAGGGAAAGGAGGTGAATGGATATTCGCTGGGCTCCCTGCTCATCCTCTTAGCCAACTGTAGAGGCAGACTGTCAGATGGACATGAAGTAGTCACAAGAGTGGAAAAGAAGGGAGATTTGCCCAGCCTAATGCACATGTTCATTCTTCTCTCAAGAACCGCGTTTTCTGGTTCCGCTGCATGTACATGCTGGTCTGGGGCAAGTTTGTGCTGTACAAATACGTCACCTGTTGGCTGGTCACAGTAAGTAGAAAAGATGAAATAGGGCATAGACGGGCTGTGGGGGACGTGGGGAGAGTGGCAAGAGCCCTGAGTTGGTCCTTCCCTCAGGAAGGAGTATGCATTTTGACGGGGCTGGGCTTCAATGACTTTGATGAAAATGGAAAGGCAAAGTGGGATGCCTGCGCTAACATGAAGGTGTGGCTCTTTGAAACAACCCCCCGTTTCACCGGCACCATCGCCTCTTTCAACATCAACACCAATGCCTGGGTGGCCCGGTAAGCAGGGGAGGGGAGGTCTGGACCTGAGCTTCTGCCTTCCACCACTTTCCCAGATTGGAGGGCAGAAATGGACTTGTCACTTCTGTCTTTTCCCACTTTGGGTAGAACTTCCAATCATTCTCACACATACCCTTACACACTTGTATCTCCACTCCTACCCTCCAACATTTGTCAATATTTGAAAAACGCAAGCAAAAATGTCTTAAGTGCCTTGAGTCCTGGGTTTAACCCCAGTTCAGCCACTGGTTTTATGTTCTCCACAGTTCTGTTTATAAAGTCTTTGTCTATTCACCCCATCACTAGAGGGTAAGCAGCATGAGAAGAAAACTTGTCTGCCCTGTTCACTGCAAGTCACCATCAGGCACTAGTCATTTAAGTAGTTTGCCAAAGTTCACCCAGCTAAGCCTCAGGTCTATTTTCTGTCTCTAAACTGAGTGGACTTCACTGCCTTTCGTCGCGAAAGCTAATCAGGCAGCACTGCTTCCCTTGCCCCAGGTGGGCCAGGTAGGAGCCAGCCACCACCACTGACCCCTCAGGAAGCCGAGAACCCGGAGGTGGATAGTGGGAGTGCAAGAACTAGTCTGCAGCTCATCCTTACCCGTCCTTTTCTCTAGTTATTTCTTCAAACGACTCAAGTTCCTTGGAAATAAAGAACTCTCCCAGGGTCTCTCATTGCTATTCTTGGCCCTCTGGCATGGCCTGCACTCAGGATACCTGATCTGCTTCCAGATGGAGTTCCTCATTGTTATCGTGGAAAGGCAGGTAGGCCTTAAGGATGCTGGGTGAAAGGGGACTAGGAGAAGAGGCAAGGTCCTAATTACCTCTTTCTTTCCTCCCCAGGCTGCCAGCCTAATACGAGACAGCCCAACCCTGAGCAATCTGGCTTCCATTTCTTTCCTACAACCCTTCTTCTATTTGGTGCAGCAGACCATCCACTGGCTCTTCATGGGTTACTCAATGACTGCCTTCTGCCTCTTCACGTGGGACAAATGGTTTAAGGTAAGTTCCCTCCCATCATGCTTGCAAGGATGGGAGGTAACCACTGAAACCTCCGGAAGTAAGTGATATTATATACCACTAGTGGCCCAGTGCACAAAATTTGTACACATTAAAAGGGAATGAATTAGACGAAATACTTTAATATTATTTACCCTTCTCTATAATAGAAGTGTCAGAGATGAAAGGAAATTAATAAAATGTATATGAAAATCTCCCTCCTATCAGTCTGTGGCAAGCCACGGGACCCAGAGTCAAGTCCCCGCCCACCCACATGTGACTCAGACCCAGCTGGCCCCACCCCCGTCAAGCCCCACAGAGGCATGGGAGGGCCCCACAGCCTCAGATCCCCCAGCGCCAGGGCAGTGCAGCCCTGGCGTGAGTGTGTGATGACCGTTTAGCTCTTTATTATATAGGATGCGCTCAGGCTAACTCAGTGACCTGTATCTCTCTCCACAGGTGTATAAATCTGTCTATTTCCTTGGCCACGTCTTCTTCCTGAGCCTATTATTCATACTGCCTTATCTTCACAAAGCAATAGTGCCAAGGAAAGAAAAGTTAAAGAGAATGGAATAATCTATTACCCTGGTAAGTTAATATCCAGGTTACGGGGCAGAACTGGGGGTATGGGGAGTGGACAGTGTTGGAAATTTGGTGTGAAGCTCAAGATAGTCTGGCTTCTAGGAAACACAGTATTGGGCACTAATGTGCCAGGAAGAAGCTAGAAGGGCTGTAGACCAGGATCTAGAAGAAATAACTGACCAGCCTTCCCATCAAATTTCTTCTGCAGGTGGCCTACAGCAAGACTGGTGCAGAAATAACTTGTCTCCCTTTCTACACTCCGCTCCAGAGCAGAGAACACAGAAGCCAGGGAGTAGAAAGACATGGCACTCCCAGCTGCGCCTCTGTGGACAGCCAAGTCTTCATTTGGGCCAAAGGGGAAACTCTCGTGGGAGGAGTAGAGGGGCCCATGTCTCCCCTCCGGACTCCCCCATGCACGTTGCCTTATCTCCCCCCTCTAACCAGGAATCTGTTGTTTTTCTTCTGCCAATTTACTATGATTGTATATGTGCTGCCACCATCACTCCCCCCATGGGGGGGTGAGGAGGGGCATAAGGCCCTGCCTGCTCCACTTTTTCTACCTTGGAACTGTACCAGATAAAAATCACTTCTGTTTGTTCAATTTTTCACTGCTAGCATTCCTGGCTGCTTTCTTTCAGACAGTTCTCCGTGCTTGCCATTGCTGCAATAATCAGGGCTATCTCCTTGAGCGCACAGTAATCCAGAAGTTGGAGCTAAAGCCAACCTGCAAAGCCCGGAACCAAGCTGCAAACTCTGTAACCTCGCACCTTTCCCTGAAATCTGAGGAGAGCGGAACAGTTTACACCTTCAGAGACTAAGTTTAGGAATCCCCAAATACAACCAGGTTTGCAAGAACAGTGTTTATAAGATAAACAAATAGCAAATGTACATTCAGCCTTGGCTTCCACTAACCCCAATCTTGGTTCAGGAAGGTCATCATCCAACAGGGAGTTAGAAGAGTCAAGGATGCAATGTCAACAGTCTGTTTCAGAGCAACGTCCTACTGTCAAATGACCCTCCATACTTCCTCAAAGGCTGTGGTAAGTTTTGCGCAGGTTAGAGCAGCAGAAAGGGGGTAGTTGCTGATGGACACCATCTTCTCTGTATACTCCACATTGAGCTGAGGAGAGAACAGTTCTGTCAACCAACTAACACTGTAATAGGTTCAGTCCTCCTTTAGGGCAGGAAAATTGGGCTGAGCTCTTATTTCACTGTGTTAACATCAAGTTTGTACGAAGGATGAAGACAGTCCTAGTTTTGACTATTACCAATATGCCAGCAGTCCTCAAAAGATATGTCCTGGGGCAGGTTAGGGAACCCACACTTCTCTTTCAGCTCTGTGATTACCCTCTATTTCCCAACTGATGAGGACAAGGATCATCAAAATGCTAACTGCTCTTGGAATTCTGTGCTAAGCTATGAAGAGTCTTAAGAATTGAACCTAGACCTTACCTTGCCATGGGCAAAGGCCCCCACCACAAAAACAATAGGGTCGCTGCTAGGGACCAACTCTCGCACATCACTGACGACTGGGATGGAAAAAGAAGTGCCAATTTTCATACATCCAACTGGGAAGTGATCTGACACTGGATTTTTAATGACCTAAAGTAAGAGAGAAAAATGAGCCCCAGAAAGGTTCTCAGGACCCTACTTCCAACCAGTAGGTATCAATACCTCACCTTCAAGAGCTTCTGGGGGCCATCAGCTGCTCGGACACTGAGTTTGTGTAAAAGCTGAACTAGGGCGAAAAGAAAAGTGTTCAGAACTCGGTGGAAACCACATTTCTGCCCTTATTCTAACCAGGAAAACCCATGGTAAGATGGGCCTTATAACTATACTGTTCCCCTAACATGTTATGAGCAAGTAGTTGTCAAGCACATGGCTAGTTGTATACTGATAGGTTCGCTCTCCCTTCTTTACTCAGCCAGGAACCCATGTAGGCTTTACCCCTACACATGGAAAGTACTGAGTCCTTGTTCTGGGATCAAGCATGTTCCCTCTTCCCTTCTTCACTCCTAAAATTTAAGTCCTAAAAATCTCACCCATGAGGCCACAAAAGCGGTCAAAGGTTCTGGGAATTCGAGTCTGGGGGTTCACTTCAATCAGCACATTCTTCTGTGTATGGATATAAACCTGCAGCAAGCCAGCTCGGTTCAGAGGACTGTCCATCAGCATCAGTAAACTCTGAGGGAGGCAAACACCGAGGCACAGTCAAGACTGCAGAGAAGCAGCACGCAGCTGTCTCCCCTCCACACAAAGACTCGGGTGAGCTCCGTCCCTGCAGTTACCTGGTGAGCTATGTCTGGTCTCACTTCCCCCGGGTCCCGTCCATTCTTCAACAGCATAGACTTGTGCTTGTCACAGTTTAGCAGTTCATAGGTCTTCCCCGCCTGAAGAGGGAACGTGACAGGATGTAAGCGGTTTTTACTTAGCCCAGTGATTCAGAGTGTGCTCCCCAAACCAGCAGCAGCAGCGGCATCTGGAAACGTGTTACTCTAGTCAAAGTCTCACATTCATCCTAGATTTCCTAAACCAGAATCGATGGGGTGGGGCCCAGCAGGTCTTCAGGGGTTCACTGTGTGGCCACATTTATCGTCCCCTTTCCTTCACTCCTCTCTGTAAAGGGAAAAGGGAAGAAGGCACAACCTGTGATTTCAGATTATTTAAGCTGGATTTAATTTAAAAACCTGTGGATATTAGGCAAAGCTGGTGAGGGATTCTGGAACCAGGTGGAGTAAGGTTAATGAAAAAGGTTGAAAGCTTATCACAATAGTACCAATTGTGATAAACTGGGCAAAATATATATGGTCATTACCCTGTTTGCTTATAGCAACCATACACTAAGTGAAGAGCTGCACATCTGAACTAGAAGTGTGAAAATTCTAATGATGAAGGAGGTCGTTTGATCAAGAAATACTTCTGTCAAAAAGTAAGACAAAATAAGAGGTTTTAAGATGGGTGAGCAAAGGTAAATGTAAAAAAAAAAAATTATGCTGAACAAGTGGGAACTGAAACACTGAAGAGCAGTGATTACATATGAAACTGCTTTGTAGACTGCAGAATCCTCCAGTATCCATCAGGAAGAAATAATCCTGGAATAATAGGAGTGAGAATGACTGAGGAATATTGTATACTAGAAAATATACCAAGTAGGAGTTTGATAATAAAGATCTGTCTGGATCCATCTGTAGCAGCAAGAAGAAATTGTAAATTGCAATTGGAGTCCTAAGGAGCATTAAGATAAAAAACATACCATTAAGTACAAATAGAGGTTCTGAAAGGCTAAGCTTTTATGTATCAATAGAACATTTGTATGTCTGATAACATCTTAAAATATACAATCCCAAAAAGTGGGGGAAGAAGCACATGAACTTTGAAATTAAATAACTGAAATAATGTCACAAAGTAAGCACAGAGAAAGAACAAAGGCCAGAAACTGAGACCCTGGGATTCTTAGTTATAGAAGAAAACCTCTTGAATAAAAGAATCTAGTTTTAACCCATTAGTAAGTTATAAGGAGGGTTCTTAATGAAATGGGATAGAAAATATCAGAGTACTTCAAATGTAATACTGGTGATGGTTTATGGAACTTTTGATTTTTAATTTGTGGAATGTGGTTAAGCTTGAAAAACAATAATTAGAATAATCAGAATAAATACCATGTGTATTCACTTTCTATAATAGATATTGGAGATATAAGGATTTTTCTTTCATATATTTTATTGATCTTTTACACAGAGGAGAGGAAAGGAATAGAATTAAAAACATAGATGGGAGAGAAACATTGATCGGTTGCCTCCTGCACACCTTCTACCGGGGATGTGCCTGCAACCAAGGTACATGCCCTTGACTGGAATCGAACCTGGGACTCTTCAGTCCACAGGCCAACACTCTATCCACTGAGCCAAACCAGTTAGGGTGATATAAGAATTTTTAAAACCTTCTCTGCTCTCAGAGAGAGCCTTCTAGTAGAAGAAACAAATAGTTAATGGCTATATTAATATTTAACTCAAATTGGGATAAACATTATGAAGGAAAAGCAAATGGTTTATTAAAGGATCTAATATAATCAAGAGCTACTATGCTAATTAGACCGAGCAGCAGAACGACTGTCCAGACAACCTTCCAGACAAAGCCGGGCCTGCAAGGGCCAAGCCCCTCGCACGAATTTCATGCATCGGGCCTATAGTTAAAACAGAAGAACCTGACTTATACCAGGGAGTCATTTCTATGAGGAAGTAACACTTAACATATTAATTTAAGAATGAACAGCATAGCCGAAACCGGTCTTGCTCAGTGGATAGAGCGTCTGCCTGCAGACTGAAGGGTCCCGGGTTTGATTCCGGTCAAGGGCATGTACCTTGGTGGCTGGCACATCCCCAGTGGGAGGTGTGCAGGAGGCAGCTGCTGATTGATGTTTCTAACTCCTCTATTCTTCTCCCTTCCACTAAGAAAAAAAAAAAATCAATAAAAAATATATTTAAAAAAAAAAAAAAAAAAGGCCGGGACCGGTTTGGCTCAATGGATAGAGCGTCGGCTTGGGGACTGAAGGGTCCCGGGTTCGATTCCGGTCAAGGGCATGTACCTTGGATGCGGGCATATCCCCAGTAGGGGGTGTGCAAGAGGCAGCTGATCGATGACTCTCTCTCATCGATGTTTCTAACTCTCTATCTCTCTCCCTTCCTCTCTGTACAAAATCAATAAAATATATTTAAAAAAAAAAAAAAAAAGAATGAACAGTATAGTAGGATCAATAACAGTTAAGTGAATGAACATTAGGAAGGAATTAATGAAGCAAAGAGCTGAGTAAAAGGAGCTTCCATTTAGAGAACCTTAAACACAACATCTTTAAGGTACGAGAGAACTTCATGCCTTCAGAGAGCTTAAAGTAGGCCGGTGAGACTGACATATAAAGAATAAATGCAGAGAGCAGGCCCAGAAGAGGCTGGCAGAAGCAAGAGTTAGCAGAATAAGGAAGGCACGAGGTAACAGCACCGAAAATTTCAACCAACTATGAATTCTGTCACCCTTGATGTACCATTAATGACAACCTAAATTCTTCCAGAGCATACTACAGGAATTTTATTTTGGCTATGACCTTTACAACTACTTAATTGGTAACTTGGAATCAGTAACAATAGTAACTAATTCTAAGTGAAAGACATTATTATAAACCCCTAATACCGGTACATATTAACTCCTTTAATCTTCCCAATAACCCAGCAAGGTAGGAACTACTATCATCCCCAAGGGACATAGGAAGAAATGGAGTGGTTAAGTGACATTCAGAATTAATAGTCTGGAAAGATAGTAGGCAATTAAGTGAGGAATAAATATAAGAACCTATTTAGGTTAGAAATAGTAGTTACAGAAGAAGAAATTCCCATTTTAATAAGTTGGGGGAGGAGGGTAGATTGCAAACCTAATAAAATGCCATAGTGGTTGAGGAACATGAAAAAGAATCACACCGTAAATTACTAAAAAAAAAAAAAAAATCGGTTTGGCTCAGTGGATCGAGCGCCAATCGGAGGACTGAGGGGTCCCGGGTTCAATTCAGATCAAAGGCCTGTACCTTGATTCTCTTATCGATGTTTCTCTCTATCCCTCTCTCTTCCTCTCTGTAAAAAATCAATAAAATATATATTTTTTTAAAGATTACTATGAAAACCTACTACTTTTATAGCACTCTCATTGTATTCTCCCTGTAAAGTATTAACCGAGGACAAATCTTCCTCAACATCACACACTTACAAAGTATAAGAATCAAGATTAAAGTCCAGGTCTGACTTCCAAGCCAGTGCTACTTCTTCTGGGCCTACTCATTGGACAAATTTAGCTCTAAACGGTGAGAGAAACAAGCAAGTCAGAGGGAATAAGAACACGAGCAATTGTAAGGCATAGAATTGCTGCGTTATTCCGAAGGAAAAAAAAAAGAGACGGATAGGTAAAAAGTGTTTCGAAGTGGGTAGTAATACAAAGGAGCGTGACAGTCAACACCTTTTATAAAACACGAAGTCCCTACGAATTAAAAGTATGGGCCAGCTGCGGAAACCGGTTTGGCTCAGTGGATAGAGCGTCGGCTTGGGGACTGAAGGGTCCCGGGTTCGATTCCGGTCAAGGGCATGTACCTTGGTTGCGGGCATGTCCCCAGTAGGGGGTGTGCAAGAGGCAGCTGATCGATGACTCTCATCGATGTTTCTAACTCTCTCTCTCCCTTCCTCTCTGTACAAAATCAATAAAATATATATATTTTTTTAAAAGTATGGGCCGGTTAAGCTTACAGTACCACCTTTGGAAACTCCCCCTCCTTTTAGGTGAGTTTATACCGCAGAACGAATCCCGGTAAATCAACTGGAAGCAAAGATGTGACGGCTGGATTGGGGTTCCAGAAGGGAAGGAAACGAGTACAGCCAAACCAAAAGACAGTCAGCTAGGCCACTCTTCCTCCAAAAGCCTATTTCACCTTTCTCCGCTTTCTCTATCTACGTGAAGCCCCCCGCCCTCATCCCCTGGGGTCCCATCCTATCGCTATGCTAGTTCCCCACGTTCTTGGCCCACATTACCTTGACTGTCTCCAGACTGGCCCCTTCCAGCACCACTATCAGCCTGCGGCCTCCCATCCTGCTTCCCGCCCCAAGTCGGGGCCGCTTGGGCGCCACAACCTCCCAGTCCTGGTCCTGGTCCCCATCGCGGCGCTCACGAGGCTGGAAGCCGCCGCTGGGTGCAGCCATCTTGCAACCCGGCCGGAAGTTGCGTTACTATCCCCTTGCTCTTCCAGAATCGCAAACTTCCTTCCGGCTACCATTTTAAAAGCAGGCGCTTGGAAATGGCGATGGCCAGCGGCCTGGCACTACCGGAGTCTCCCCGGGAGGGCGGGGTTTCCGGGAGAGGGCGGGACTTCCTGATGCGCACTTCCTGTGCGCCAGATTCGGGTCCCGTCCCCCACCGTAGGCGAGGGGGGGCGGGGGGAGGGTTTAGAAGAAAGCGCACTTCCGGTGCCCTTTCTCCTGCAAGCACCTGGGCCACGGACCCTCGTGCGAAGGGTGCGGTTTCTAAGCTGGAGTGGGGTGGAGGCGGGCCGGCACCCACTCCTGACCTTCGGGGCCGCCGGTCTCGGGATCGGACATGGCCCAGAACTTGAAGGACTTGGCGGGGCGGCTGCCCTCGGGGCCCCGTGGCATGGGCACGGCGTTGAAGCTGTTGCTCGGGGCCGGCGCCGTGGCTTACGGGGTCCGCGAGTCCGTGTTCACTGGTGAGCCGCCTCCGCCCGCCCCCCCGGACTGCTTCTCTCCCAGACCCTCCCTGCCTTGGCCCCTCGCCCCACCGGCGGCCAGCACGTACCCGGCCTGATCCCCACCCCTCTCCCCACAGTGGAAGGCGGGCAGAGAGCCATCTTCTTTAATCGGATCGGTGGCGTGCAACAGGACACCATTCTCGCCGAGGGCCTCCACTTCAGGTAATGGCGAGCAGAGCGGATTGACCCTGACCCTTCACCCTTGAGCGCCAACCCACCAGTGGCTGGAGTGAAGACTTGCAACAGGATTCAGCTGTACTCTTTTCCCCCCCTGACTCCATCCCCCAGAAAGTGGGTGCTTCCCGTAACTGCAGCAGCACATAAGTTCGTTCTCCGAAGGAGGAGGAGGAGTCCTCCTAGCCTGTGGTCGTTAAGTGGAGGAGCAGGCCAAGAGACACGTGGTGAGGGAGAACTAGGCAAAACTAGTGGCACTGCAGTCTCCTGATAACGCTCTCTGTTCCCTCTCCTCCAGGATCCCCTGGTTCCAATATCCCATCATCTATGACATTCGGGCCAGGCCACGAAAAATCTCCTCCCCCACAGGCTCTAAAGGTAGGTTTGGACACTGGGAAGCCTGGCAAGAGCCCCGAAGGGAAGATGGTGGTGTCACAGCTCCTGGGCCTCGGTTTGCCACAGCTGCAACACAGCTGGAATGAAAGTGCCTGCTTCTGGGGTTAAAGCAGTACATTCTGGACACGCTGTGTGTTTGCACTTTTTAATTCACTGTTCCTACCCCCTAACCTAAACTCAGTGAGAGCACTGTCTGTCCTTCTTCACTCCTAGACGAAAGCCATGTTTTAAAGCTTTTTTGTTATTCTTTTAGCTGCTTGACTTAATGGTATCCACTGGTATGCCCTGGCCTGGGGAAACTTGGTCCCACTTTTCACTGGTTCCTCCTAGACATACCTAGAAGCTGTGCCTTTGGGATTTCCCAGACCCGTGATTGGCAAACTGTGGCTCTCAAGCCACAGGCGGCTCTTTGGCCCCTTGAGTGTGACTCTTCCACAAAATACCAAGGCCTGGGCGAGTGTATTTTGAAGAAGTGGCGTTAGAAGAAGTTTTAAGTTTTAAAAATTTGGCTCTCAAAAGAAATTTCAATGGTTGTACTGTTGATATTTGGCTCTGTTGAGTAATGAGTTTGCTGACCACTGCCCCAAGCCCCTCGTCACACACACACACACACACACACACACACACACAGGCATATTCACATTGAGGCAAGTAGCTCACATGTAATAAACTTATTTGTACTGTTTTTAGTGCTGGTCACTTAGCATTCATTCCCTAAACCCTTGGTCCTGGGAATAAAGGATTCATAAAACACAGTCCTCATCCTTAAGCCCTGATGGACTAGTAGAGAAAGTAGGTGATTATTGTAGAGCCTACTGTAGAGGTTGCCAGCAGTACAGTGGCAAAGAGAGGAGAGGTTACCTTTATTAGTGGAGGGGTCGTGGATAGAAGACCTAACATCCTTGTTACAAAGGATGCACCTGGCCTGGGCCAAGTCACATCTTGTCGGCCTGGTTCCTCTCCTCCCTGCAGGGGAGCTGCAGGCTGCACGGTATTACATGGAGGAGACACTGTTTGGGGAAGGGTGCTCGGCTAAGGGGCCTTGACCAGGCACTGCTGACCTCACTCTTAGACCTGCAGATGGTGAACATCTCCCTGCGAGTGCTGTCTCGACCCAATGCCCTGGAGCTTCCCAGCATGTATCAGCGCCTCGGGCTAGACTACGAGGAGCGAGTGTTGCCGTCCATTGTCAACGAGGTTCTCAAGAGCGTGGTGGCCAAGTTCAACGCCTCACAGCTGATCACCCAGCGGGCCCAGGTTGGACCCAGCCCCCATCACCATCTGCACGGTGTCAGCATTTTCCTCCTAGACCCAGAGCACTACACATGAGGGTCACCACCGTCCTAGATGTATTAGGAAAGGCGGGTTATAGAACAAGGTTGGGTCCCCAGGTCCATTTCTACCTAAAAGTGCCACTCATGGCCCCTGTGGGAAACAAGGAGAGCCAAGACTAGAACTCAGTAGGTACTAAGAAAGAGTTGGTGAGTCTTCTGCCTTTCTCAGAAGATCTGATATGCAGATGGTCACAGCAACCCCCCCTTCCTTTCAGTTCTCCAGTCCCCTCGAAAGACCTTTCCCTTCCCCTCCTCACCCCGACCCCCAGGTGTCCCTGCTGATCCGAAGGGAGTTGACAGAGAGGGCCAAGGACTTCAGCCTCATCCTGGATGATGTGGCCATCACGGAGCTAAGCTTTAGCCGAGAGTACACAGCTGCTGTAGAAGCCAAGCAAGTGGGTGAGTTACCAGGGGAGTGGGTCAAGGGTTTCTGAGCACGCAGAGGGGTGGGGGGTGGGGGGGCGCGTGGGGTTTCTGACACTCACACCTGTGACCTCTGACTCCCACCACAGCGCAGCAGGAGGCCCAGCGGGCCCAGTTCTTAGTGGAAAAGGCAAAGCAGGAACAGCGGCAGAAGATCGTGCAGGCCGAGGGTGAAGCTGAGGCCGCTAAGATGATATCCTTCTGCTGGAGAGATCTCGGCTCACCCGTGGAGCACACTGATTTCCCGTCCTCCCCTGTCCTCCTCCCTCAGGGGCTGGCTGATGAAACTAAGGCGAATGCGATTCCGTGCTCTCTGGGGGGGGTGGAGGTTTCAAATGGGATCTGAAATCTTAGTGGGGTACCTGAGCTTGGCTCCTCACTGTAAAGCAGATCAATAGCACTGCTGGCCTTGCCTCCATTTCTGCAGCTGCCTCTAGTTCCTGGCAACTGCCCACGGGGGGGCCCACAGGTGAGGACCAAAGTAAGACGGGGCACGAGCCACCTGAGCGCAACCTTGGATCTGACAGCCCCGAGGAGGGCTGGAGTGACGGGAGTAGTAGGATGGGGCCAGAGAATGAGACCTGGCCTTGTATGAACCCTTAACCCCTCCCTGCTCACCTTGGAGAAGCACTGGGCAAGAACCCAGGCTACATCAAGCTACGAAAGATCCGGGCGGCCCAGAACATCTCCAAGACGGTGAGTGTAAGAGCCGAGTATCCCTCAGGGCTTCCTGGAGACACCGAAGTGTGGTAGTTAGAACGTGCTCGTTCAGGTTTCTTCTCAAACTGTCCCATCGTCAAAAACAATTTATCCAGCCCTGGCCAGTTCTGCTCAGTGTTTGGAGCGGCAGCCTGTGCGCTAAAGGGTCGCCATGTGCCTCATTTGCAGGTTCTCCAACCGCATTGGGGGCACGTGCAGGCAGGAGGCAACCAACCCATGTATCTCTCACATCAGATGTTTCTCTCCCCTACCCCTGCCTCTTTCCACCCTCTCTGGAAATCAGTGGGGAAAGTATCCTTGGATGAGGATTAAAACAATTCCTTTGGGTTATGATACTAGCATAATCACAGTTGCTTGCTGCTCTGGGTCTGTGTGTGAGAACAGAAACCATGTCTTTGTCATTGTCGCATCCCTGTTCCTAAACCCACATGTGTCCGTCCGTGGTTATTGAAGGCAAGGATAGGAATTGAGGCCTTTGCTTAGTAAAAGCGTCTGCCCTGTTTCCTGCCCGGTAGATCGCCACATCACAGAATCGGATCTATCTCACTGCTGACAACCTTGTGCTGAATCTGCAGGACGAAAGTTTCACCCGGTGAGAGACGTGTCCTGCACAGTGGGAGTCACAGAGAACATGGGGTCCGAGTCTAGTCTCTTGGGCTCCGGGGCCTGTTACTACAATAGCTTATTCGTGTGACCTTTGAAAGACACCATTCCTCTGAACCAGAAGATAGAAAGTGTTGGTGACTTGAATCTCATATGATTGATTTTATGAGAATAGGATTCTTCATTGGAAAGCATTTTCGCCCTGGCCGGTGTGGCTCAGTTGGAGCTTTGTCCCATATACCAAAAGGTGGCAGGTTTGATCCCTGGTCCTGGTACATGTGGGAGGTAGCTGGTTGATGTTTCTCTCCTTTCCTCTCAAATCATTTTTTTTAAAGGCACTTTAATTATAAAGTTTTGTCTACTAACAAGTGGTGGAAGATGGTATTTAGCATTCTTACTCAGGAACCCTAAAATTGCTGCTCTGGGACTTGGGAGGGTATTAGGAGAGGAGAGGACTAGTCTTCCTTTCCGGAGCCTGGGGTCCCTGGCTTCCAGCCCTTTTTCTCTAGGGAGCACAGGAGGGTTTAGCGCTAGGTAAGGCCTGAACTGAAAATCACCTCTGCATTTTTCTTCTCTTTCTGTGTTTCCTGTTCATCTGGTGACCTGGTGTCCGCAGGGGAAGGTAAGTTGATGATGCATCCTTGTTTCCATTGGGTCTTGCAACTCGTCTAGTACCTGCCTTCTCCCCACCACCTACCCTTTATCACACCCCTTAATCAGGAAGGAGGGTGGTTCCTGTGACCTTGAAGGGAGAGGTCATGGTGCTGTTCCTGTCACGTTTATGTCCCCTTCATCCATCTCCTTTCCACAGTGACAGCCTCCTCAAGACTAAGAAATGAGCCTGCTGACCAAGAACTCCACTCCCAGAGAAGTGGATCTGTTTCTGCCCTGGTGTTTGAGGAGCCAACTTGGGGTCCAGC